CCCCAAAACCCCAAAACCCCAAAACCCCAAAACCCCAATATTCCTATAAAATGTGGAAGACTTCAAATTTTATAATTATAAAAAATGGAAAGGGAGAAAGCAACTATCAAAGACTTTCAGGAACGTAAGAATAACGGCGATGATAATAAGAAAGCAGAGTCCGTATTTTACTTCCTTGATAACCTGGATGATCCTGATGCTGTTTTCAATAGAGTCTGATTTTTATGAAATAACTCCACTCCCAGCCTTAGTTCCATACAGGCTAAGAGTAGGGATGAGGATGATGAACAAATAAATGATCTTGAAAAGCACAATTTTGCCCTTGGAATGATCAAAATCGAGAATCAACTTGATCGATCTAATAAAGTAAAACATTCGAAAACAAAGAGTGAAAAGAAAATACTCAAAGGTGAGCATATTAGTGACCCTAATAATCAATCAGAGCGAGAGGATATCCTTTACCAAGACTCCCAGGCCCAATTAAACGAAGAAGAAATTGAGGAAATTAATGAGGGTGGCGGGACCGATAGTGAAGATGAGAAAGAAAATGATATGGCAGGCTCAAGAGACCCTTCCATGCAAGTTGATAGGACAAATTCAAACTTTTTAAAAACAAATTCTAGGTACGAATAATTTAACCTCAATAGGACAAATAATATGGAAGAACCACCTGAAAGTCCACTTCCTGTAATAAAGATTAATGACAACAAGCATCGTGCTAGAGAAGATCAAAAGACAGCAGGAGTCACTCCAGTTGACACTGAAGAAAAATCTGATGAGAGTAATGATGAAGAGGTTCCTAACACTTCAAGACAGTTAAATGATGATAATAAGAAATAATAAGAAAAAGAAAGAAAATTTTATTAATCTCAAAGCCAAATACGATGGGTTCAATAAGCTAAGATTTGTCTACTCAAAAGTAATTCCTAAATGTATCGGGGAAACCGACTTTATCTTACCCTGAAAATGAAATCAGCTTGCTCACAGATGCTGAGTCCTAATATATTGCTTGCTGAAATAAATGCATAATTTGTCCATACTGTGAAGACTTCTATGCATTCAAATCAGCTAAACTTCCTCTTTGAAACGAGAAGAATTACTCTGTGCTATCATATATCCTAAGGATTTCTATTTTTATACTTCTTCTGCTTTTCGTCTTCCTTGGCCTTCTAACATACTTTTTTACGGCTATATTTATCTATGATGAATCTGTCAAATACATAATTTTATCACTCCTCTGCTCAATTATAATGGTATTCCTTTTGTACTGGCTATACACCACTTACACAGAGACTAAAGACAGGAGTCTCTATATCACAAAGATATTAGCAATGAGCAAGGATGGCTACGAGACTGAGCTGACACGGATACAGTCCAAGCGGAACTTATTCAAATTTATCAAAACTTACCTTACTAAGGAAGCCAATTTTGTGTCCCATCCTGAAGGCTTTTGGTGGAAACGAGCTGTATTTCATAAGAGAAAAGCAATTGAAGAGAGCTTTCAGCAGTTTATTCTTAATAATGCTCCTAAACAAGAACAAGAGGACTTCGCTTATGAAGGAATTTTCGATAAGAACAAAGAACCTGATGCCACTCCAATGAAGGGATCTAAAAGACTGGAATCTAATTTCATGAATGCCATCAATCGAAGCACTATGGGTGGTGAAGAGTTGAAGATGCTACAGAATGCCTCTAACACTTTGATTAACCACGAACAGAGCTCTGATTACTCCAAAAGTCCTCACTCTTCAAACTCTCGCCCGGTAGGTATCAGCAGAATGAAGCTTGGTATTCTTTCTCTTTTAATTTTAAGATAAACGAATGAGGCAAAATTTTACCATAACTATGGGAAATTCAGGCCAATCTCCAAACAGAGATCACAACCTAACATCTTCAAAGAACAAATAGAAAAATGAGAGGTGACAATGCTCACGGCTACACTACCACAAAGCTGATAAAAATTACCCGTTTGCAAACAAGGAAGGGATCTGAGAATATCAATCCCAAAGCTGTCAATAAGTTAGTAAATAAGCCACTAGAAAATACTAATAAGAATAACTCAGTGATAAACGAGGCGGTTATGGACCCCCGAGCCAGCTCTTTCTCTAAGATCGGGACTCAAAGTGAGATAAGCAATCAACTCGCTAAGAAAAATACCAAGGTTGAGAAGTCCAAGGAATCTATTGAATCGCCTGACATGGCTGACCAAAGTAAAGGAGTAGAGAATAAGTAATCACTGATATTAATTCTTTAGACTTCAATCCCAATTAAATGATCCTGGATCGATAGTCAAGTCTGAAGAAACCAAGGGACAAGATACAAGCTTTAAGACCAATCTTTCTTGTGAATCCCCTACGAAAAATTCAATGAGGAAGAAAGAAAGCTCTTCGGTCCCTCTTAATATTTCCAAAGAGGAACCTAAAGACACAAGCCAGCCATCCAACGAAGAAGAAATGAAGAAAGAAGAGCTAGGGATAATTCCAGAAGAAATGTCTGAAAACTCTACAATAGTACCTCAAATTGGTAAAGGCCATCGAGGGCTCACTCAAAAGTTATCAGGAAAAGGTACTATATGCGAAAATACAGAGGTTAAAGATATTATTCACTCTCTTAATAAATTATCTGTTTCAGAAAATGACATTAAAGAGGTGTCTGAAGAGTTTTCAAAGGTAGATGAATCTAGTGAGTTTTATCCTCAAAATGTATCACATTCTTCATTATCTAAATACAACAAGCATCTTATGAAGACAAAGGATGACAAACAAGGAAATTCTCATCTTGGAATTCGGTGGGAATTAGATGATTCAGGGATCCAGTCTATTAGTAACATCACGAATTATATCAACCCTGAAGAGAACAAGGCCAATGAGGGGATGATTCAATCTGCTCTAGTTAATAATTCTCAAAATGATTCAGCTGTAAAGAATTCCAGACTTGATGTTGATATGGTCAGGCCTCCTAATAAGCAACAAAGTCGAATAATCAATATTAGTGAGTATTACTCTGATACCTCGAAAGCAGATCAAGATAGTAAGACTTATTGTGATTTATCTCTAGTTCAAAAAGCAACAACTATAAAGAGGAAGGAAACCAAAGCTGAAATAGAGATTTTCAAGAGTAAAACTGCTAATGTTGAGGCGATAAAACTAAACAGTCTCAAGCATGCTCTTTCTGCAAAGAAAAAAAACAAATAATTTATTAAATAAAATAAATTCTATTCTGAGTCTACTTTTGGGGTTTTGGGGTTTTGGGGTTTTGGGGTTTTGGGG